TGTATTACTGTTGTTCAAAAAACACCTGATATTTTAAAGAAGAATAAAACACTTTTCAGTCATGCTTGAACTGATGCAGCTTAGGCTGTTTTTTACTCGCACTATTTTTAATATTTATATCTTCAGAAACTGGAAGGTGTTAGCTGTCAAATGATGTATCACACATGTAATTTATGCTAACAGTTCCTCAGTTTTTTGCTTTCTCATTTGGGTATACATTAAAAAAATGTGTTATATAGCTTCCTAGATGGAACAGCATTACAAGTTGATGGATTTAATCTTTAATCCTTTGTCTTTGCTCACGGTTATCTGTTAAATTGATTAAATATTTCATTGCCTAAAAGTCACTTTATCATTTGGTAAAATGCTTTTCTTTTGCAGGTTATAAAGAAGTCGTCACCCAGCTGGTGCTGCCGATTCTAGATTGCAAAGATTTTATCTATAGCAATAGCACACAAACTAATCTTCAATGCGTTGTAGAACAGTCTCCCTGCTTTATGTACGAGCCTTGGAACTGGTTTTGTTCTTAAGGCCAGTTGAAAATTTCATTGATTGTTATTTACTTTTAAACGTATTTCATTTAAACTTAAAATCTATTCTGATTGTCCTCTAAGTTCAAACATTTTCCTATTCACTTTTATTTCACAATCTAATCCAGGAATCACTGATCAGTTTTTGCTTTTTTTCACACCAATAATCAGGAAAGGAATTACATTTTGTGTATTTTGCTTTAAAGCTCCATGAGCCTGGAATTATTTGCCTTTGCTCCTAAGTTGTCTTTACAACTTTTTTGTCCACCATCTTGCTCTTAATTAAATAAGAAGAAAGACTAGTTTATCCTGGATGTAATCCTTACATGGGAATTCACATGTATGTCATGGTTCTGGTTCTGTTATGTTTTCTTTTGAGTTTTCAGTTTTACTTTAATCCATGTTTTCTTGTTTTAGTGGTTTAATTCTTATTTTGTTGTGTTTTCTGGTTATTTTTAGGTTTTTATTTGTTGCCCTCTGCTGCCCTCTTGTGTTCTCCTTTTTCCATAGCTCCTTTTCTGTTCTGCTCTGTTCACACCTGCTCCCAATCTGCTCTTTACTCCTCTCTTTGTTCCACTCTCCCATAAATACTCCCTCTCTGCAGTTCTTCAGTGCTGGTTCCTCGTCAAACTTCCTCCAACTCCGTCTCTCTGAGTCGTCCTCCTCCTGATTGACTTTGTTTTCATGTTTGATTTTTAAATCTTTGGATTCCTGCCTCAGTTGTTTGTTAACTCTTCATTAAATCCACCAGGATCTCACCTCTGCCTCCCTGTCTCTGCATTTGGGTCCACAAACCTCAACCCAATCCTGACAATGTACTCTGTATCTGTATGCGTTGTCTATTTTTGTGTCTTTATGTTAAGTGTTTGTACCATGCAGAGTGTGTATTGTAGTGAGATATACTTGCTATGTTGTGGATGTTTCTGTAGTAAATAGTTGTGTATTGTATTTTGGATTGACTGATTATGATTTATATTAAAGTTGCTTATTCTTATGCATTATTTCGGACAGATTATCTTGAAAATGAAATGGTACATCTTGAGGTTTGTCATTGAAATAAATAAGTAAATAAATAGTACTTTGCTTATCTGTTGGAGTGCATCACTCTATTGCATGTGATACTGAACTGTACTGTAGCGCTAATGTTAAAATGAAGGTTTTAGTGTCTCAGATCGATCGGATAAATACAATTACATGTTATCATGTATTATTTCTCATTCTATAGTAGAATACACTGAAAGGTATAACATTATATCAGACAGCTGTGGATTGCATTGTTTCAGATGGTATCAGTATGTTTCAAAATGTCATACAATGTATCACACTGTGTGACGTTTTGTTACATTGTTACGTCGTGTCAGATTGTGTGTCATTTTGTTACATTGTGTTATGTCGTATAAGATCATGTCGCATTTTGCTACATTGCGATATGTCGTATCAGACTGTTTGGCATTTAGTTACATTGTGTTATGTGAAATAAAATTTTGCAGCCTTTTGTAACATTTTTTTACATTGTATCAGATTGTGTGGCATTTTGTAACATTGTGTTAGATTGAATAATATTGTGTGGCATTTCCTTACATTTTCAGAGTAAGTAAAAAAATTATCCTCATCAGCCGTCAACTTGTATGTTAGATCCAGTTCCAACCAGGTTATTTAAGGAGGTATTCCCTTTGATCTCCTCCTCCATTTTAGATGTGATTAATCTATCTCTGTTACAGGGATATGTACCTAAAGCTTTTAAGGTTGCTGTAATTAATCCTCTGCTTAAGAAACCGA